TGATTTATAACATATAAATACATTTTCCCATTCTGCAGGTTGTCTATTTGATTTAATTGTTGTGTCCTTAGCTGTGCAGAAGCTTTTCAGCTTAATTAAGTCTCATTTGTTTATTTTTGTTGTTTGTGCAATTGCCACTGAAATCTTCTTCATAAAATCTTTCCCCAGGCCAACATCCTGAAGAGTTTTTCCATCCTTTATTCTAGAATTTTTATAATTTCATGTCCTTTTATTTAAATCTTTTATCTACCTTGAGTCAATTTTTGTAAATAGTGAGAGGTCCACTTTTGGTCTTTTACAAGTGGTTATCCAGTTCTTCCAGAACCATTTATTGAACAGGAATTCTTTTCTCCACTGTATGCTTTTGTTTGATTTATCATGGTGATAAAAGGCTGAATTCATTTCTAGTTTTTCTATTCTCTTCCATAGATCTATCTATGAAGAACAGGGATTCTTTTCCCCAGTGTATGCTTTTGTTTGATTTACCATGGTGATAAGAGGCTGAATTCATTTCTAGTTTTTCTATTCTGTTCCTAGATCTATGTCTCTATTTTATGTGGCAACACCATGTTGTTTTGATCACTGTGGACTTATCATATCTGAAGTCTGGTATGGTGATACCTCCAAATTTGTTTTCACTGAGAAGAGTTGCCTTGGATATATGATGTTTTTTCTGGTTCCATACAAAACCAAGAACTATTTTTTCCAGTTCTTCAAAGTATGATATTGATATTTTAATGGGGATTACATTAAATCTGTAGATTCCTTCAGGTCAGTGTTTCTCAACTTTCCTAATGCCCACATTGTTACAAATTGAACAAAGCGGTTGCAACCCACAGGTTGAGAACTGCAGCTTTAGGTAGTATAGATATTTTAACAATGTTGATTCTTCCATTTGTTAATGTATTCTACTACTTTTTTTAGGGTTTCATAGTTATCTTTGTAGAGTTCCTTCACATTCTTTGTTAGGAATATTCCCAAGTATTCCTTTTATTTTTTTTAAGCTACTGTGAAGAGTACTGTGTTCTTGATTTGCTTCTCAACTTTACTGTTATTGGTGTTTGAAAAAGCTACTGATTTTGTGGACATTTATTTTATATCTTGAGTCATTATTGTATTTCTTGATCACTTCCAGGAATCTCATGGTTGAGTATCTGAGGTTTTCTAGGTATAAAGTCACATAATCAGTAAAGAAAGGGAGTTTGACTTCCTCTTCCCCCATTTTGATGCTCTTAATATTCTTCTCTTGCCTAATTGCATTGACTAGAACTTCCAAAACTATGTTTAATAGTGGTGGAGATAGTGGACATCTCTGTCTAGTTCCAGCCCCAAGTGGTAAAACTTTCAGTTTTAGTCCATTCAGTTTGATATTGGCTGTGGATTTGTCACAGATGGCTCAAATGCTTTTTAAATATATGTTATATCTGTTTATCTGTTTCTATCACCCGATTCACAAATGTAGTGCTATAGTTTCTCTAGATATCTAGTCTGTTCCTACAGTCCTCTATTCACCTCAGAGTCTTAGCTCAGATCATTTTCCACTCCTGAAAAATTATTTATGATTGTTATTTATATTATTTTCTATCAGAGTTGTACACTTTCATTAAGATATAACTCAAATTTTTGATTAAACAAG